ACTGTCCCCGCGTTCTCAAAGTGCCGTCCTATCTCAGCTATAAGTTTCTGGGTGAACGCGATTGTGCAGCGCCCTGCGAGCCCGCACGGCCCGACGGCTCCATGTTCTTCTCGCAGGAGGAGACGCGGTTTGCCCGTCTCTGGATCCTCACTTGGTCGGTGTTGTGCTGCGCTTCCACGTTCTTCACGGTCACCACCTACTTAGTGGACATGCAGCGCTTTCGCTACCCAGAGCGGCCCATCATCTTTCTGTCAGGCTGCTACACTATGGTGTCGGTGGCCTACATCGCGGGCTTCGTGCTCCAGGAGCGCGTGGTGTGCAATGAGCGCTTCTCTGAGGACGGTTACCGCACGGTGGTGCAGGGCACTAAGAAAGAGGGCTGCACTATACTCTTCATGATGCTGTACTTCTTCAGCATGGCCAGCTCCATCTGGTGGGTGATTCTGTCCCTCACCTGGTTCCTGGCAGCCGGTATGAAGTGGGGCCACGAAGCCATCGAAGCCAATTCGCAGTACTTCCACCTGGCCGCCTGGGCCGTGCCAGCCGTCAAAACCATCACCATCCTGGCCATGGGCCAGATCGACGGCGACCTGCTGAGCGGCGTGTGCTTCGTGGGCCTCAACAGCCTGGACCCGCTGCGGGGCTTCGTGCTGGCGCCGCTCTTCGTGTACCTGTTCATCGGCACATCCTTCTTGCTGGCCGGCTTCGTGTCACTCTTCCGCATCCGCACCATCATGAAGCACGATGGCACCAAGACGGAGAAGCTGGAGAGGCTCATGGTGCGCATCGGCGTCTTCTCGGTGCTCTACACGGTCCCGGCCACCATCGTCATCGCCTGCTACTTCTACGAGCAGGCCTTCCGCGAGCACTGGGAGCGCTCGTGGGTCAGCCAGCACTGCAAGAGCCTGGCAATCCCGTGCCCGGCCCACTACACGCCGCGCATGTCGCCCGACTTCACAGTCTACATGATCAAATACCTCATGACGCTCATCGTGGGCATCACGTCGGGCTTCTGGATCTGGTCCGGCAAGACGCTGCACTCCTGGAGGAAGTTTTACACGCGTCTCACCAACAGCCGGCATGGCGAGACCACCGTGTGAAGCAGCCTCGCCTGGTGGGCACCCCCTCCCCCAGGGCCGGACCGCACGGTGCCCTCCTCCACTCGGGAGGGGGTGCGCCTATGGACTCCTATTTTATTTTTTTAAAAAATAAAGAACAGTAAAAAAACAAAAAACAAAAAACAAAACCACATTTTATTTTAGGTCGCTTTTTAAAAAGAACTCTGTCCAACACCCCTACCAGGTTTGTGATTAAAACTGTAAATAGTGTTTGTAAATTTAATTATATATTTTCTATTTAAAAGAAAAAAAGGGGGGAAAAACAGGAGCGAGGGCGCCTAGGCTGAAGAATGGGGTGGGGGTGGGGGAGGAGGGCTCGCCTTTTCTAAGTGCCCTTTTAAAAGCCGCCCTGTGCTCTGGTTCGAATTTTTTGGTGACTTGGCAGGGCTGGGCCTGCTGGGAGAGGCACCTAGCATGCGCGCTGTTTTTGTTGGCTTCTAGGAGTTGGGAGTTAGTTCCACTCAACTTCTATAAAAGCCGAATTTGCGAGCCTCCTCGCCGACGCGGGGCCTGTGGAAGCTGTGGGATATTTTTTAACAAGACTTGGATTCGTTTTGTTCTATTTTATTTCCCGTCCTCTACCCCCCTTCACCCCCCTTTCACCCTTCTCATTTGTTCTGTCTTCCCTCACTCGAAATCTGGAACCCTCCCAATCCAGATGCAGACGTGGAAAAACACACCGCTTTTAGGGGGAGGGCGGAGATGTGGGGAGGAATGGCCTCCACCCCCCTAACCCACTCTCCCGCGGGCACCGAGATCCTTCTGTGGTTTCGGCTCCGGCCCACGCGCAGAGAATGGGCAACAAAACGTTTTGTGAAGTGTGTTTTGACACCCCCACCCCGCCCAGTACACACACCATTTTAAGAGCCACCCTCTTTCCCTGAATTTTAGGGATACCACTAGCAAACCCCGGGCTCTTTTGCTCTTCCCTTCCTTCTCTCCCGGTAGTCTGCTCCTCGCAGTGGTATCCAGGTTAGCAGTTTTTAGGGTTGGGTTGTGTGTTATGTGTGGGTTTTTGTTTGAGTTTTTTTTTTTTTCTTCCAAAAGCAGTAAAAGTGGTTGGGTTGGAGGGAGGGGAATGGATGAGATGGTGGGAATTTTAGTTTTCTTTTGACAAAAGAGTGGCCTTAAAAAAAAAAAAATAAGAAGTTGTCCAGGAAAAGAACTAAAACTACTGGGTTAAGTTTGCTTTAGAAGGCCTCTCTGGGCAGGCTCTTTGTGGCTGTGGGGGTGGGGTGGAGTGTTTACATGACATTCTATATCATAAGATTGATAGAGTGTTCCTAACATGTTTCTTCCCCCTGCACACAAATAAAAGTAAAGATTTTTCTTAAGTGCGCTGCCTGAAGGATGATGTATAAAGTATCTTTCCCGGTATGAGAATTCCAGTTTCGAACACACACATTGGCTCTGTCTACTGTTTGGAGTCTTAGGACTCAAAGGCTGAGGAGTTGGAGACTAAGTTTTCCAGGACTGTGCTTCTGCCGTCTCTCCTGTTTCTTGATAATAGTGCAAATTAAAGCCTAATAATCACCATAATAAAGTGCATTTAATTATCTTCAGAGATCTAGCCCTTTAATTGTATTTAACAGGGTTGTAACTCCCCCCCCCAACCAAACCACACCACAGCCCCTCCTTCCCTCGCTCCTTCACCTATTTGGTTGGGGGCTGGGTAGAGTGGGCTCTTTGCCTAAGGCCTCAATTGTTTGACTAAATAGTTATGGGAAAATTGATTTCTTATCATCTTTTGTTGGCAGACTTGGGGACAAGGGAGAAAGTAAGTTGGACCCCCCCACCCCCGACTTCCAAGTGTTTGTGTATGTTAGTTTATGTTGGGGGAAGGGAAGTGGAAATGTTTGGTGGTAATTGAAGTCATATGTGGGGCTTTGTTTGCAATTGTATTGAAGCCCGGCATTTCGGCAAAGACCCCCTTCCCCAAATATATAGTCTTTCTCCAAATTATTTGTGCTAAATTCACTAAGTCTTCAATATAAATTTGTCTTAACTCTCGAGGTGGGGGGGGGCAGTGACACCGCCCCACAGCTCCATTACTTTCAAGTCCGAAAGAAGCCCGCAAAAGCTATAGAAAAGAGGCCAATTCCACGCAATTCTGAGTGCCTCTCCTGGAAATAAAGGTGAGACCCCAGGAGTCAAGTGGGGCTTACCAGTGCCTGGGATGAAGCCCTACAGGAAGAGGGATGCCCCTTTCTGCTGAAGATTTGGGGAGAGCCTCCCCTACCCTTAAGAGTACCAGGGTCTTGGCTCTGTGTGCTTCTGTGACATCCGTTTCTCTGCCCTCACAAGAATGGCTCAAAGAGAGGTGAAGGGGTGACAACTGCCTTTTCTTCCCAGCTCGCTCCCCCTACCTCAAGGTCTCCTGCCAACACAGGGATACAAGGTCTGCCACAACAGACAAAGTGGCTTCCTGACAGGGCCGGGGAGGAAAGATAAATTAGCTTCTTAAAGCACCACAGATCTTAAAGATGCAGCCCCCTCCTTTAAGAGGTGACCGAGGAGCTGGAGTGCCTGAGAGAAAGCGGGGTGGGGGGTGGGGGCTCCCTACTTCTCACTCCCACTTTAATGAAATGTCTGAAAGGAAGGGGAACTGTAGGTTAGGAAAGGCCTTAAAGGGAACTCCAATAATAAACTGCCTGAGCATGAGGCCACACCTGGAATCTCTGCTGTTTGGAGAACCAAGCTAAAGTACGTGGCCTCAGGTCCACTCTTACCATTTCTAGGTCCTAGGCGTAGGAACCACTCTCCACCTTGTAGGCCTTGCATTTTAATGCCAGGTAGGATAGAAAAAGAAAACTTGGTAGATCACAGGCCACAGGTGATGTCTCTGTTCTCTCAAGTCCTAGAACGACGTGGCAGCTCTGCTGTGGCTAGATCTCCCTATGGGACTCCCTTCTTCCTGGTCAGACTGTTGTCCCCACCCCCTAAATCCTGGCCTTATCTCAGAAACATTCCCAGGGTTACAAACTCTTAGCCCTTTAAGAGATGTTAAAAAGCTAGCCTCCAAGAAAGCCACTGACGTTTTCCCCCCACAAATTCCTTTGTCTCCCAAAGACTGAGTATTGGGTTCTTTTTACTGGAGCTACAGCTACCAACTCATGGATTCCTAGAAGGGTACCTTCTCTAAGAGGCTGGATCTTGGATACACCTCCTGGGTGCCAGGGGCATGCGTGTGAGCTCATGGAGCCATCCTTCTGCCATGGGCATGCGTGTGAGTTTGTGGAGCCACAGTCCTGCCATTACAGTTGAATTATCCCTTCCGCGGCCTTTGCTGCTCACCGGATCAGATCACCTCAAACTCTTATGGTTAAACTGATGGAAGAATGCACGGACTCGCACTATGAACAATCTTCAGGTCTTTGAAGGGTAGGGGGACCGGGAGAGGCCAGTTCACATGAACACACAATTTTGTATTTAAGTATAGGAGGATTCCAGACCATTTGGCCCACTCCCCTGCCCCAGCTAGTCACGCTCGTCTCATTCGTGTGACTGACATGGGAGCTCAGACCTGTAATCCCAGCACTAGGGAGGCTGAGAGTGAGGGTGGCTTGGGCCCAAAGTGAATTCTAGGCCAGTCTGAGCTATGATGAAACTCTCAATACAACAATAATCTCTCTCTCTCTCTCTCTCTCTCTCTCTCTCTCTCTCTCTCTCACACACACACACACACACACACACACACACACACACACAGGGGCAGGGGCCCGACTAACTGGACCTATAAAAGCACAAACACTCCTAAACTAGATGGTTCTTAGGATGATGGGATCCTTCTGCCTCTCAGGTAGCAAATTACCAGTCAAGACAGAGTGGGGGAATCGGCTGTTGCTGGGTGTGTTTGCAGGGACAAAGGACAGGTCTCTGCATCTGTGTGTGGACAGACGCTTCGGTGAGGCAGGCCAATTGTGTGCCCTTCTGCAGGCTTTCTCAGCTGCGCCCATGGGTAGAAAGGCCATGGCTCCCATCATGTAAGGCTGCCAGGATAAGCCGGGTGACACAGAGCCAGCCCAGAGCACGAGTCAGATAAACTCTAGCACTTTCCCAGCTACTTGGGATAAATTCCTGAAAGTGGAGCTGCCGACTCAAAGGGCATATGTTTCTTGAGGTCCTTATCACCTACTGGTACTGGTACTTTTCACAGATTGGAATGATTTCCCATGATTCTAGGCTCCACCTCTGGTTCTGAATGTGTCTAGAGGCTCCTCAGGGTGGTGGTGGGCAACGTTCGTCTCCTTCTCTGATTAGGACACAAATGTCTTACTTGCCTGAGTGAGCAGGGCACACACCAGGGCGGGACTGCCTCTCCATCGGCTTTGAAGTCAGCTAATTAGGGCTAAGGCTGTCACAGCTGGCTTCCCCTCTGCTTCACCCCCTGCTCCGCCTGAACCTCCTGCCCCAGCTTCCCAGTCTAAGAGCCTTCCCCAGCCACCTTGCCTACCCTGCAGACTAAGCCTCCAAGCCCTCAGCAAAGGTACCAGAGTTTGCAACCCGGAAGAGCTAAGGCAAAAGTAAGAAGGTGGTTCTCGGGCATACTTGGCAGTTTAGAGTCTTGACTGCCAGTTGCTAGGAATGTCTCCTCCTTCCCAAGGAGACCTAGAGAGGAGCCAACCTGGGCTGGGGGCTGAGCTCTGCGCCCTTTGTTTGAAAGCCAAAGCATTCTGAAGGTTCCAGCTTCCCCGATCTGGCCCTTATAATTAGCCCCAATCAGAGTGTTTATGTCAGGGCCTAGTGCGGAACTCAGAGCCCCGTGATTTCATTTAAAACCTGGGGAGAGGTGGAGGGGAGGGAAAGGGAGTTGTGTGGGGGCAAGCAAAAAAGAGGGTGGGGTGGAAGGTGGTGACAAGAAACCCCAGGAGAGGGAGGGGTAAGAGGGTTCTCTGGGGAACAAAGGCCCCCTCTTTGGCCATAGCAGGGGTCAGGACACCTTCCCAGGATAGCTGACCCCCAGCATCCTGACTCAGGGCAGGCTCTGTGGGTGGGTGGGCTCATGCCAGTCGGAAATAGCTTGGTTATAATTAACACAAGTAATCACCTCTCAGTCCAGTGGGAGGGAAGGGTGCAGGCCAGAGCCCCACTCCCCCAGGAAGCTCTGGCTGCCTTCCTTCTTCCTCTCCCTGAGGGCCTGGGGAAGGCAGGCTCTGCAGCTGCTGGAGGCAGAATGTGGTTAGGGAAGGGATGTGGGAAAGGAGGTGGCTTATTCTTATCTCTGGCCTCCTGGGTGACAGAAGAGTGTGGGCTAAGGTAGAAAAGCCAGGGCTTGAGGGGACAGCAAATTGTGGGTGGAAAGGGTAGAGAGAGAGAGAGAGAGAGTTCCCAGCTGCCGCTCCCAGGTGGCATGGAGCATGTCCTTCCTGTCTAAGCATCCCAAGGGTCTCTCCAGTAGAAGTGGCTTGTAGGGAGTTCTACCTGCAGGACTTAGTGCTTTGTGTCAAGGGGGTTGGAAGAGACAAAGGCAGTGTGGAGGCAGAGCTCACAATTCCTTTGCTTAGATCCTCCCAGGCCAGGATGGGCTAAGAGTGTGGCTTGGTAGAAGAGTACATGCCTACCATAAGTGGGGAAGGTCCTAAATTCAGTCCCCAGCATGGGAAAAAAAGAGAAAAATTCGACCAGAACCCCAAGGAGCGTCTGAAGTCCTTCTTTCCCACAGCGTATGATGCAGGAGTTGGATCTTACGGTCTCAGATCAAACTGCCTCTTTTTTTTTTTTTAAACTTTATTTAGCTTTATTTCATGCGCATTGGTATAATGATGTCAGATTCTCTTGAATCTGGAGCTACAGACAGTTGTGAGCTGCCATGTGGGTGCTGGGAATTGAACCCAGGTCCTCTGGAGGAGCAGTCAGTGCTCTTAACCACTGAGCCATCTCACCAGCCCCCCAAACTGCCTCTTGACTTTGCAACTTATAGTCCCTGTCATTTGAATGTCCTACCCTTCCATTCCTGTAGCTCACAAGGTCCTCAGAACTGCCTCAGGCTAGCAGACAGCCGTATCCTGTCCAGTCTTCTTGACACCCATCTCCCTTGCTGTGTTTGGTGTCTTTATCTCTGTATGCCAGAGCTTAGTCAAAGGCTCAAGACCACAGGCTTTGGGGCCTGTCTATGAAGTGTGGTGTGTGTGTGGTGTGTGTATGTGTGCATGTGCGTGGTGTCTGTGTATGTTGTGGTGTGTGGTATGTGTGTGAGTGTGCATATGTGTGGTGTGTGCTGTATATGTGGTGTGCATTGCTGTAAATGTGGTGTGTATGTGCTGTATATGTGGTGTGTGTGTGGTATGATGTGAGGGCTCTTATCCCTTGAGAGACTTTGTCTGTCTAACAGAATCATTTCACTCATACATTTGTCTCTTTTTTGTTTTGTTAGGGTCTCAGGTAGACCAGGCTGGCCCAGAATCCCCAGTCTTTCTGTCTTCTTCCCACTCATCCCCTTCCAATTCTGGGATCATAGGCATGTGTGCTCAGGGTTGAGCCCAGGGCTTTGAACATGATAGGCAAGCACTCTACCAGTTGAGTGCTATCCCCAGCCCTCCTCGGACCCTCTTATCAACCTTTGTG